AATTTAAGAACTTCTTTGTAAATAGTAATAATCTATATACGTATAAAATATATAATAACTGTAATGTGACTGTATTTTACCAAATACTCGTTCACTAAAACACAGCCAAGACAGGTCAGTTTTATATTATTGGATACAGTAACGTGAGTGCACTTGCACGTGTCATTGTAACTTCTGTATTAGCCAGGCACAGGTGAAAGGTGAATATAATAAAAAATATAAATGTATAATGTTACGAGTTTTAATCTATTTAGTCTAAACATTTATGTTTTCATGTTATAACTTGTAGTCATTCTAGAATAAAAATGGCATAATTTATGTTTATTTCCCAATTGTTATGGTGGTTACGAGGTTGGTCAAGTTGACCAAATCCATACAGAGATTTGTTAGTGAAAATGACAGATAAAATATAAAGTTTTTCTTCAGAAATGTTTGATAACTATCTGGACATTATAAAGATTTTGCATGTGAAATTTGAAATTTTTCTCATGCATAAAAGTATTTTTAATCATAAAATGAAAATTACTTTGCATGTTGCATGTACAAAAAGAAAAAAAGGCATGAGAAAAACATTGCTTAACAGACCTTAAGATTGAATAAAAAAATCTGATATATTGAGTATGAAAGCATTGCAATATTTACTGGTAATCTGCCAAATTTCGTGAAAGTACGCTTACTAATTTAAAAGTTATAGCTTATAACATGAAAACTATAACAAGCACCGAATGGTCCCATGGACCGAGCCCTTGCAGAAAGAGTTGATGAATACTTCTTAGGTTACTGATTATTATATAGGTAAGTGACAAATACTGGAGAATGGGAAGCACCATTGATGTGCTTAAGTTTTTAAGTCATTTCATTAAATTTACACATTTATATTAATCACAGCTTTCAACATGAGCTGATGGTTGCTATGTAAGTAACACAATCGTTCATTTTCATTTTAGTGCAGTATGAACTATGAAAGTACCGAATAAAAAAATTTATATTGGCTAATTATATTTTTCAGCATCTGACTGACATAAGAACATTTTATAATAATTAAGAATGCCATGTGAGATGAAAACAATCGGTAATTACTAAAAATACCACATAGAAATACATATGTAAAAAAAGAACATAGAAGACAGATTCAACTCCATGAGTTATGTTTGAAACATTTCTGAAGGACATATTTTTCCATAAATGAAGCTATTAAATATTGAAATACAAAATAAAAAAACATGAGAAAACTGGTGCTACAAGAATATAAATAAAGTTGTATTAGACCTACTATATTTTTTACCACTGCATTTTATATCTAGCCCTTTAGGTATTTTTCAAGAACTAGGAGACTGTACAATAATAGTATTCCAGCCACATCATGTTTGCTATTTGTTGGGCTACTGTATACAGATATATGTAATATATCAGAGATAGAAATTATTATTTCAAAAATATTAAAGGTTAAAAAGTACACTAGGAAATGTAAAAACATAATACATAAAACAAATGTACAGTCTGTAGAAATCTTTGATAAGTACTGAATTATTTTCCTTATGATTTATTTATAAATATATTCAGTTCAGTCTGTCGTAAGAATGATTATATTTTTTATCCTGCCTAAACAGCAACTGGCATATGAAAATGAATCAGGCCTCAGTAGTAATCCAATTCAGCTTTCCTGGATTCCAAGCAACCAAGGGTCAAATGAGAGGTTTCAACAAGAATCTTATGTTTCACCAAAAGATTCTGAAACTGTAAAAGCTGAAGGTGTATTGACATCTAAAGACTATGAGAGTATTGTACTCATGAAACTTAGACAGAGTGAAGAAAGAAAACAAATTATTGAAGAGATGATGAAAAATCAAGATACAATTTAATTATATTTGTATAATACTGATGCATTAAACCTGTTATTAATAGATTTGATATTGAACAGTTCAATTAAAACAAACATGTAATACCAACATATAAGTAGAATTTTATCTGATATGGTAAACCAATTATTCCTTTGAAAAATAAAAACAATTTGGTGATTATTTATATAAATATATATAATATGAAAAGTAATCAGTACATTATAAGCTTTCTTTTTTTTCAGTAATATGTAGAAACATCTAAAGTTTTAAATTTTTTGGAGTTGTTTTCAAAGTGATGAATCATATTTACATAAAGATGCTAGCTCAGTGTTAGATGTTTCCATCATATAAAACAAAAGTTAAAATGCACATTTAAACCAAACATTTCAGTTGAATGATCTTGATCATGTTGTAATGTTTTACAGGAGACCAAGGTTTAGAAACAAATGTTGGGTGAAAGTATGGAGAACAGACTTTAGGTGTAAATATACTACATAAAGAATGTACATAAAGTTTTTACCTGATGAGCTACATGCAGTAATTCATCATACAGCCCTGCACAATCCCAGGTTTTTGAGACATACTGTCAACATTGTGGGGTACCTTTTGCCTCTGAGAGGCTCACTGCACCATGGTTTTTAGTCCTTACCAGTTGGTTTCTGCTGTTTCTTTTGCAGGGAAACAGCTCTGGTTGTGGAGTATGACCACCAGTGGCATGTCCAGTCTTTGGCTGATTATAAATGGTCTGGATCAGAGATGGGACTGTAGTAGTCTAGATGGCAAGAGCATGGAAATCCTGTAGAGACTTCATTAAGTTGTCTTGGATTTAACAGGTTCTAATCCATGTCAAAAATCCCCAGTTATCCTCATTTTCCTGCACCAAAATTGATCCTCAGGAGCAGGGTTTGATCCAGTTTGAATGCTTCAGACATTAGTAGATAAGTTGGTTGTAAATGACTGTTCATACTTTTACATCCAGAATAAGCTAATAAAAACATTCCTTTAAACTGGTGTAACTCAAGAGATTAAGGAAGGGCCAGCATGAACATTAACAATAAATCCTGTGATATGGCACTTTCTCCTTCCTCTCTACTTGTGGTATTCTCAGGTGAACTGATTTGCTCAAAAGTATGGACAGGTTAACTTAATAACAACAGAGTCGAACTAGAAATTTCTAAAGCAACTGTGTTTCAAAACAACTGAATTATAAGCCTATGTGACAGAATAAGGAGAATGGGCATGTTTGATGGAAAATTAAACATAATTTTTGATCACAAACAAAAGAAAAGCTCTGTACTTGCTAAGATGTAATCACTTCTACTGAGTTAGTGTATAGCTCCACAGCTTTCCATCTCTTGGGATTGACTTCTGTAGAACTATATTGAAACAGAAACCAGGTAGAACTGAGAATAAATAGATACTTAGATAATCTAAGAAATCTCATATTGTTTCTCTTTGGAAGGCATCTCCACATATCTGGTCATTCTTGTACAGAATTTGTCAGCTGTAACATACAGACGTCATCTACACAGGAAATATAGGGCATTACATACATTGATCCTTTTCAACATTTAGTACTGTGTAATGTTGCAGTAGTATCCCCATGGGCAGAGTAGGTGTTACTAACTATCGAGAGCAACAAAGACACACAAGCAACTAGAACAAGGCAACTTAACTGTTTTGTGGATGTCATGTTTATGGCACAACAACATAAAAACTAACACAATGTGATTAAAAAGAAATTCCTATATCAGTAAAAGCACATAGGAAATATATGACACACCTTAATATCACAAATGTATCAAGAGTAACCATTGATTTGGGAAGCAAGAGAGAAAGTCAAACAAGAGGAGACTTTGTAGTTGAAAAAATGAAGCTAATTCTTCCTGTTCAGCAATTATATTAAGCAGATTCTTCTTCCTGTGATTGCCAAGACAAGAAGTGATAAATGTACATCACTTCTTAGACTGAGTAATAGTAGGCTTTACCAATTTAGTATTCGGCAAATGGAAGTTGAAGGGGAAGTGATTTTAAAACTTAGGCTTCGATCAACCAAGATGAGGATGACAACAAGGTAGTAGGTTGCATCTGGTTAAGCTAAGTTGAGCTGTTAATTACACATTTTAGAAGAAGTTGCTTAAAATTATAGAAGAAATTTGCCTTCAAGAGTACATTGAATGGATCAACAAATAAAACATAAATTCACACAAAGTATCCTGGTAGCTTAGTAAGCAATTGGTGATATAGGAAAATTAACTGCTCTAGAGTATAGTCACATATTGATAGGTTACACTGTAACTGTCCATAATCCAGCCAATTATAGAACACACTAGAATAAAGCCTATAACAGTATATGCATTCGTACTCTTTCCATTAGTGGTGTGTGTGTGTGTGGTGATTCCTCTCATTGTTCCCAGATCATATATGCCACATGCCAAACATGTATAAATTCAACTTCTCCATAAGGCAGTTTTAAATAAAATTTCATGTTTCAGAAGGAGCTGTATGGGAATTTTGAAGAGAATATGAGAAACTAGTAGTGTTGATAATACAAGTAATCAAGTTATAAACACCAGAAGGCTTCAAAAGTGATGTTAAATAACTCAAGAGTCTGCTCATTTAGTGATATATGAGTGGAGATCTTGCTTGTTATCTAGCTGTAAAATACAGATGTGAATGCGAGTACCAGAGACAGTAAAATACACATTAGAAAGAAGTGACCTTAATGGATGTACCTGCTTAAAAACAAGTGCTTAGAAGAAAAAAAACAATCCAAAAGACTAAAATGGGTAGCAGGCATCAAACATTGAGATTAGAAAAATGTAAGTTTTCTATTCTCTTTAGAGATGAATCCAAATGCAAATTGTTTGGCAACAGTAACAACAATTTGTTCATTTGTTAGAGAGAATATTATCATGGTCAGTGTTAAACATTTACAGTGAATCATTCAGAGAGACCAAAACAAGGTGTATTGTATCTCAGCCAACCTGTTGGAAACCTATTCAAAATTGATGGCACACTAACTCCTTCAGGAACAAGAACTGTTGAACAGTGATCCAAAGCATACAGAAAATGTGGTGGAATGGTACCTGAAAGGACAAAAAGGCTAATAAAACAGTTGCAACTATGACTTTACTTGCACAAATTCCAATATAAATATTATAAAGAATGTATGGACTTAAAATCATAAGTAATATTCAACGTTAAACTGGTACACAGTTAAAAACATTTATTTAGTCCTATCTATGGCCTTCAAAAAGTTAACGACT